GACTGATGCTACATGCTCGCGCCGGCCTCGGAGATGAGTGCGCTGAATGATGCATGACTTGACAGTCGTCTCACGCCCGCTACGACAAACCGCTGCAGTAATAGGGGCGCACACAGAATTCGAGCCTCACTGTTTTAGAGCAATGGTCTTCCGAGTCTCACACCTCTGAAAGGAATTCATGCGAAAAATTCTCGGGAAGGCAGAACGCATTTTCTTGCGAAACATATTCCCCTGAGAATATCGATCTGGGAGTGAGCTGATCGCTCAACAACCATCCCGCATGAGAGCACGGAGAAAGACTATTCACCATGTGGTTATATTGTGAAAGTTGTGGATTTTATTGAATTGAAGGTCACATATATATATCAAAAAATATTATTCTCAGCAGTGAGTTTTCACAATATGCTCTATTCATTGTTTGTTGGGGTTACCTTGGTTGGACGAGCAGCGCAATAACAACACTCCAAGTTTGAGATTTGAAGGGATCAGGTGATGATAGCCACTTCCCAACAAGAAATTATTGACACAAAGTCCACACATTGTTCAACCAATTCAGGCTGTGGGATAACAAAATGCATTAACATTGTCAGAATGGAGCTCTTTGGAGCGCAACAAAGAAGGTAAGGCAAGGGCAACAGTTGGAGTCCTAAATTAGGTAAACGCCGATATTGTTTGGGTGTGAAGACGCACAAAAGTAAGTATAGTGAGGCATTAGCCATACGATCTTCTGGACCTTGACAATGTTATGGGACTGCTGATAGGGTAGTGTTCGTGGCGCCTCGCAGGTAACTACATAAGGTAATCTTAACTTAACAGTCATGGATGTTTCTTTTTTACACTCCTCGAGCTACAATGAAATAACTCAAAAGATCCCAAGTTTCTTTGAAATTCAAATAATATAGCCACCAATCACGCCAAATTTATATAATCCAGATAGCACCACTCATATAGGGTCAAAGGAAATAATGGCAGCCAGAATGACCGAAATGAGGAAGAGCGATGTACATAATGCGAAAACTGCAAAATGCACAAATCAGAGATTATAGATGGGAATTTTTAAGTTGCATAGGTCATCCTCCTCACTTGCATATCTAGGTTATGAAACGGTAACAACAGGAAGGCGAAATATAGCGCGCGAACCGAGAGAGGCATTGAGGGAACAAATAGTTACTATCGCTCTACATTTTTATGGATTACGAACACACCATTCACTGACAACCCTCATTATGGTTTTGACACCGCGCACTCTACAAAGCCGAAATCAACATTATTTCAGCAGCAATCTCAATTGAACGTAACAATAGCTTTTAATGGTTTGCATTGTAGCAATGTGGCACAAAGACACTGGTATTCAGATGATATGGACTATAGGCTGTACGAGAACATTTGCCAAAATGCAGAGTTAATGCTATTTTAACTTAATACACATTTACTTGCAAATAAGGCTTGAGCATTTAATAGTGCTCGCTTATTAGACATTGCAGGGAAATTGTACAAATTACATCGTGAGAGAAGGAACCTTGTCACATCTAGTCCAGATTTTTTCAAGTAGCCATCACGAAACACTAACGAGGAGGGTAACAAATAAAAAATTGGATTGAAGTACACTCAGGTATGCATTTAGACTTAGGATGGTTAATGGAATGTAACTATCAATGGTACAATTGGTAGGACTTATAGATCATACTACAAACATCAATGGCATGGACCTTACACTCAGTTCACATTGGATGTAAACCTTTGCATCCACACTCCAAAACTTAGTGGCAACAAGTGTACTAAAAAATTCACCGTTGCCAAACTATATGTAAGATGCACTAGCTAAATCGCTCACTTAAACCAATTGGTAGTCTCTTATAGAAACCAATAATAGCATAAACAAGTCGCTAATCTATTCTAAAGCGCAACTTAAAGGAGCAAACATTGTGGCTATTTTTTAATTATTTTCTTGGTATGTGAAGACATAGTGAGAGACGCGGTTATCATATTATTATTATCTCTATTATCAAAGGCTCGAGAGTTACTTCACTTATTCTCTGACAATCCCGCATAGCGCGCTCGCCGTCGACATAAAGAGTACAGGCAAATTTCACTGTTACACACGACGGAGTCCTTGGGATATGGACGGTTCAGGGTAAAGTCAGATGTGCGAGGCTTGCTCTCGACGCTGGTGCTTCAAAGTCGTCTTCTGCATTCAATTCTCAACTAGGTCACAAGCAGCGTGATGAAAAGGTTAAGAGCCTTAAAGAAGAGGTAGCATCAATGAAAAGGCGATAATTCAATCATATGAAGGACGCTTTGAGCAGTTCGAACACTTTATGAAAGACAAATGCAAGGCCAATTGTAGGTGATACGACTCATTTTGATGAGTAAGTTACTCTTGAAATTTTATTAACATATACGAGTGTTTTCTCACCAACATTGCTTTAAATTTTATTACATATACAGTGTTTCTCAACCAACTATCTGAAGCTTGTGGTCGGGGAAAGACATGTTGAGAATCCTGAATCTCCACCACAAATAAATAAATAATTGTATCTCTCCCTGAAAAATTTGAGAAATTATAATTTACTCCTCAATGTTTGGCAAAATTACAACCATGTTTCCTTAATATTTTGATTCAATTAAGTTGTCCCACAATGTTGACTTAAACAGAAATATTTCTAAGTTACAATCTATACATGGGTAATAATTCTATTTACATACTACAAAAAAATCTCAATACAAGCTTGTCTGAGAGTGAAAATTTTGCACTGTCATTGTACCTCTTTTATGTCCTCTTATATAGTTGCACTACAAAAATAATTCTATTTACAAACAGCTACATATACTTCTCAGAATAATTCTATTTTACAACACTACAAAATCTCACTACAAAAAATCTCAATGTCATCGTACCTCTTTATATAGTTGCACTGCTTTGGCTTCCAAGGTGGAGGTGACAGCTTGTGTACCTCTTAGTTTATGGTTGCATAGCTTCAGGTAGGGGACCCCTGAAATTGGAATCTAGCATTGTTGCACATGCCACTTGAAACCATATCTCTTATTTGAAATGTTCCTTCCCTAACCGTTTTAAACACTGGGGACTATGATGAGGTGTCCTTGTGCACATGGCCTCACTTAGACGTCCAGGCTCACATCCTGGTCCTACTGCTTACATTATTATTTGATCATTGCCCCTAATCTTGCCCCATGCTCACTCCATTGTCTGGTGAAACCCTATTATCTTGAGCTTGTTGCCTTATTCCTCTCCTCTCTACAACCCCAAACCACCCAGCTGGTTTAGTGTCTCAAGGAAAATGAAGCATTTGACTGAGGAAGAAGAATTTGATGGGGTGAAGTAATGTAAGAGATGGTGGTGTTCAATGGTTGGCAGTGACAAAGAAAAGGCATATTTCACTAGTAGGTGAAGACAATAGGTAGTGTGTGTTGTGAGAGAACTCTTGACTTCCATGTTTAATGCCCTATTGAAAACCCCAACAGAGACCGTCTCCATTATACCTTTTCAAAATCTTTAGCGATAGAATCACACAACGACTACAATTATAGCCTCCCACTACATTTATATCACCCTTTCCTTTTTTGTTCCTTTTTGTTTTATATCACCATTAACCTCAATCAAATTTATTTTGAATTTCGCTTTATTGTTGAGTTTGATAAATTGTATGTTGATGAATCTTGGTGAGACTTTCTAGGCAATAAGTAGGTGTATGGTGGCTGCATTTGGTGGCAAGTGAATGTTATGGTGGCAGTGGTGGGGTAATTATAATTGTGTGTGCATGTGAGCTAGGCAGTGGCATGGTGTTTAAGGATTGAAACTAGTGGATGGAGGAGATAATACACGAACTACAAGGAATGGCAATAATATGGGTGGTCGTGTGGTTCTTTTTTTTTTAATAAATAGAAATGTAAACAAATATATATTATTAACAACGGCTTTCTTCATTTTTTTTTATTGGCAGGTAGGTTGAGACGTAGTCATGCATGTTTAATGGATCTGAGTTTGTCGATGCATTAATTCTAAGTTGTGCATATATTTTTGAGATACTTCGATCGGACAAATATGACATGCATTTGAAAATCTTTTGATGTTTTGTAAATATTTTTTGATGTGGTGAATTTAATTGTAAGGATGGATGGTTTGGTTTTTATGGGCGTGTAATGTGTTGACTTCGCAGGTGGTTATAAATATAGTAATTTACTATTTTGACTTTATAATTAATGGTTTTTTTTTGATTTTAGGATTGGATTGTTTGAGGATTGGTATATTTAAATTGATTGGATGGACATGAATTATGTATTAATTGAAAAATGTAATTATAGGTATTACAAAAAAATCTTAGCCATTATTTTTAAAAGAATCAATTTTGAAATTAAAAGTTTTTTTTGCGATCCAATATAGTTTTAGTCGCAAAATAAGGTTCTAGGAATCGCTAAAAACCACACCCCTTTCCGTGACAACATTATTCTGGTCGCCAAAAGTTACTTTCCGCGACCAACATCTGTCAGCCAATGCTCCACTTTCCGCGACTAGCATTATTCTGGCGGCCAAAAGTTTACTTTCCGCGACCACATTTTGAGTCGCCAAATGCTCAACTTTCCCGCGAACTGTGCATTATTTTGGTAGCCAAAAAGTCCCTACTTTCCGCGACCAATATTTTCGTCGCAAATGATGGGTTTTCCGCGACCGAACTTCACTTTTGATCTCCAAAACCCTTTTGTGAGCGGGCTTTTGGCGACCAAATTGCGAACCACTTTGTTTTGGTCGCTAAAAATTATTAATGACCAGATTTGGAACTTTCTGCGACTATTTGAAATGTTAGTCACGAAAGGTGTTTTTTTTCCTGTAATGACAAATCCTTGCTTTATCTTAATGTACTAGTGGAATTTAGCAAGAAGCATATAATGAGGTGAGAACAAGGGTTTTTGTAGGCAAAGGACGAATTGCTACCTAGGCTTTGCACTAACTACAATGAAAGAAAAACACACTCGTGTTGAGCTTAGCCAAAGCCATTGTCACAAGTCGGGTTAAACAAATGGAACACATGGTCCTCCCCTTTAGCCTCCATGAGCTCCGCCACCCCTCCCCACCCACTCTTCTCCAACTCCTCCTTGTAATACCAACCCCTATCCTTCAACAAATCTTTCTCAGCCACACATACCAACACCTTGCCACAACCCAGGCTCAAAAATTTGGGATCCTTAACCGGGTTAAATAACGGGTCATCAGATCCGTTACACGATGGGTAAACAAACACCCATAATTGATCAGAAAACGCTTTTCCAATCAAGTTAGTGCCTTCATTTCCAATTGGGTCATTTCCTCCAAAATATGGATGGACTAAAACAATCCCAACAAGCTTCACTCCATCCAGCCCTTCCAACCCAACCCGAATTCCCATGTTGTGTGCTATGTTGGCCCCTGCACTATCTCCAGAAAAGAAGACCCGATAAAAATCAACATAGTCCTTCAGCCATACCTCGCCAACGGTGGCGGAGGAGTGAGAAGCAACCCACTTGACAGCGGCCCAAGAATCATCATAAGCGATTGGGAGAGGGTGTTCGGGGGCTCTTCTGTAATCAACAGAGACCACAACGATGTTGGCTTCAGCGACAAGTGAATTGAGATAGTTGTGGTACAGCGGAGAGAAGGCGGTTTCGATGCAGAAGCCACCGCCATGAAAGTAGACAAGAAGAGGAAGTTTACGGTGTGGGTTGGGAATTCTGGGGATGTAGAGCCTTGCAGATAAGCCAGTCTCTGGATTGATAACCACATCTTTGGATTGGACTCCAGTTTCTGGATTAGTTGAGGAAGGGACTATATCGGTGCCTTTGAATCTGTCGACTCGGTCGTCTTTGCAAACTCGAAGGCCTAGGATAGAGAAATCGTCGGTTACTTCATCGGAGATTGAAGAAGCCATTTCTGAAACAAACAAACAGTGTAGCGCAGTGGTGGTGGTGATGGTCTAAGTCTTCATAGACTTTTGATTGATTGAGACAGAGAGAGAGAACCGATCAATTTATTAGACCATATAAATTCAGAAAATGAGTGAGAGCACTAATTAGTGCTATCACTAATGATGTGACAGTGGGTCCCACCATGAATGATTTGATGTTTTGGTCTTGGTGTTGTATTTTTTTTCTTTTTTTATTGAGTGTCATGTCATTAGTAGTCTTTTTAGAGCTCCAAAATTAGTGATGTCTATCATTGTTGTATAAATTCGGAGATACCGGTACGTGAATCATGATATACTCATGATGTTGTTTAGGGATATGTTATTTTAATTGGTTATTTAATTTTAATTTTAATTTTTAATTTAATTTAGTTAAAAAAATTTATTTAAAATTATAATTGATTTGATAATTATGAAAAAAAATAAATAATTATAAATTAAATATAATATTTTATTTTGTTAATTATTTTGATTTATTTTATTTATTAATTATTTTAACAAATAACATTTAGTTAAACAAAACTTATATAAAATTGGAAAATTCAAAAACATAATCAAATAAAGTGATCCACGCTATCATAGAGAAAAGGCAAAATAATAATGTGGCCCACGGCGGCAGCAATATTCTATTGAGGACGTGACAGGAAGGCTAATAGAATAATTCGCTCAAAAAAAAAAAAAAAAAAAAAAAAAAAAAAAAAAAAAAAAAAAAAAAAAAAAA